ACGCTGGACATAGAATCAGAAAAGTGTTTATGAATTTACATGAATGCAATTAAGAAGACAGGAGTGAGGTGATACTGCCCACTCCTCCACTCACCTGTGGGGATGTGCTTTGCAAAAATAGCCAAGTGGTTATCCCCGCGGTCAATTTTACTTTCCACTTGACTGTAATGAATATGAGCCTCCCAACGAACAAAGTGTGATGTTAATGTTTAATCTATTTTTCCCATATAGTAGCTCCTACTGTAGTTCATGAGCCCCACAGGGTCTTCACACAAGTCAGATACGACTGTGTTGGACTTCTTGAAAGACTCTCTTGGTTTTCAAAGGGGCACTCTCCTGGCGGACTTCTGCACGTACTTTTCATTTAACAAGGTGTTGTCTTCCTCTGTCTTTGGAAACTAACTAGAACGTTAATGAGCTCCTACGCTACTTACAGCCATGGCAAATTATTCAATCTCTCTGGGCCTAAGCGCCCTTACCTAGATATACTATAAGGTTGTTGTGAGGATAAAAAGTAGCATAAAAGTGAAATGTGTTCCAACTCCTACATAAACAGACCCCTGAAATATGGAAAATTTCTATGTCTAGTTGACTACTGGGGAAATGTGTACTCATACCAAAGAAATATTTTAAAGACATTGTAAGATATTTATTGTAAACTATTCCAGGTGAAATCAAAGCATTAGGACTCCTTTGGCTTTGTCTGTTAACCTGATAGCTCTCCAGGCAACCACAGGCTACCCCACTGAGGAGACAGCTAGCTGCTAAGACTGGGTGAAAAGACACATCGAACACTGGACTCTGAGGCACATAAGAAAGCCATGGAAAGGGGTACTGGCAGCATTTTGTTCTGTAGGCCACATAGCTTGGCCAGCCTGGCAACGTAAGTGAAGACCAGGCTCTGCCTCCACTCACACTCAACCCTATTATCAAGGCCCCCGGAAGACACACAGCCTAACAGTGTCTCCAGAGGGACTCCCCACCTTCCTGGCTCCATGGAGCACAAGGAAAGTTTCTCAGAACATGAGACGTGCACAGGACACAAGAGGTCAACACAATGAAGGTTACTGTGTTTCAGAGATTAGAGGGAACACTGGAACAGCACACCAGACACTCTGAAAACCTCAAATGAAATGAAATGACACTAACGTTTGCCATGTATCTCTACAGTGCCTGATAATACCCAGGTGTTCTGATCGCTTATGGTGGTATTGCTGGGAGCTTTGAACTGTGATGTTCCCTAAGCAGCAGCAGTGGTAGTCCTAATAAAAGTAGTCAGTTCCACACAGCAGTCTATTTATGCAATTCATTTTGTCTTCCTATAAACTCTAATGAGATTTAATATCATTTTACCCATTTTTTTCTGAAGTTTTATGGTTTTTAAATTAATTAATTTGAAAGGCAGAGAAACAGTGAGGGAGAAGGAAGGAGAAAGATCTTCCATCTGCCGGTTCACTTCCTAAATACCCATAGCAGTTGGAGCTGGGCCAGGAGTTAGTAACTCCATCCTAGTCTCCCATGTGGGTGGCAGGAACTCAAGTACTTAAACTATCATCTGCTACCTCCAAGGGTCTGTATTAAGAGGAAAGTATAATTGGGATCATCAGAGCCTGGGTTCAAACCGAAGCACTCTTCTGGGAAGCAGGCATCCCAAGCAGTGGCTTTTCCATTGCATCAACACCTGGCCCATCACCTCCATTTTATAGGTGCAGAAACAGAAGCAAGATTGCACGGCCATTAGGTGTCGGATATGGGATTTGGACTGAGATGACTTCATCCAGCGTCTGTGCTTTTCAGCTCAGGGTTAGGCAACGTTTCTTTGAAGGGCCAGCTAGCAAACATGGTGGGTTTTAATAAATCCTCTGTTGCATATTCATTTGTTAAATGATCATTTAAAAATTTAATAACCAGTCTTCGCTGATAGGCTATTCAAAAACAGGCTGCAGGCCCATTTTGGTATTTACTGCACATTTTGCTCAAAGCTTTAAGAGCACAGTGGATATGCTGTTCTGTGTGCCAGTCTGACATGCCAAAATACTGGTGACGAATCCATAGTTCGGGGGCACGCATTTGCAGCACACCTGGGACACCCGCATCCAATATCAGAATGCCTGGTTTGTGTCCCAGTTCCTCTGTTTCCTATCCAACTTCCCTCTAGCATATATCCTGGGAGGTTGCAGATGATGGCCCAAGTACTTGGGTCCACGTGGGAGACCAGGATTGAATTACCCAGGCTCCCATCTTGTGCCTGGTCCCGATCATTTAGTGCATTTTGGGAGTGAACCAGCAAGTGGAAAAAACAAAGATCTCAATTTCTCTTTCTTAAATAATATAAGATGAAAATAAATAAATAAAAATCAAGAAAACAGTCATCCTCAATTCTGACTTCATCTGTTTCTGTCTCTCTCTCTCTCTTTCTCTCTCTTGTGAATTTTTGGATTAGGCTTCCTCGTACTTGGTGATCTACTGTTGGACATTTGAGAAGGGACTGTCAGGAATGAATAAGAGCTTCTGTCCTTCATTCGCTTTGAATCTGTCACTGGCTTTATTCCTAGATTGAATTTTCACACCTGGCAGTGACTTTAGGTAGTGTGATATTGGCCTAGAATGTATTCTTTCTTTAACTGACTAGACTTAAATGCATAAAGAAGTTGCATTATCTCTAATACTGTAGGCCTGACATTTTTCTGCAAACTGACATTTGCAAGGCCACAGTAACTTAGGCAGTTCTGCTAGTATAAATTTACCAAGAATCTGACATATAATTTTTAATCTTTTTCATTAAGGATTAAAATGGTTTATAAAAGGACATGGTTCATGCAGAGGACTCATATCACAATGGAACATTCTGCTTTCCAGGTACCTGCTGTTTGCTTGGAGATTGAGAATGCAACTACAGCACTCTAGGCTAGGCTGCTAGTGAAGAAATCAGTACATTACTGAATATACTCAAGATAAAACCCTGAAAAAAAGGATGAAACCTTGGACTTGCAAATACATGCTGGTCAGATTTTTTTCTTGACATTCCCACTGTACATGATGCATTATCCAAACTCATGTAATGAGTGTAACAGTTCATTGATTTTAATTTTTCAATAAGAAACACAAATAAAAACTTATGAAAATGAAACATTTTTCAAATTATTTTTACCACAACCCAGGTTAAAAAGTACACCAGATTTTATATCCTGATATTTCAATAAACATATAAAAATGGAAATAAAAGTTTAGGGACAATGCTTCTCTCAATAGATTAGCAGCATTTCTGGTATTTTTCTCTTCTATCTTATGTCACTTAAATTTTAATGCTTCTTCTGAGTGCTGAATTTACTGTATTTTATAATTCGTTAATAGCCTGACTCACAGTTTGAAAAACAGTGCCACTGAAGGTACAAACGCTCACAGTGCTCACATTCACAAGAAACAATTGTGTTGACCTCCTTGTGTAACCTAACAGCCCAGGTTGATCTATGTACTCAGAACTAGCCCTGCACAGATCACTGTGCGAGGCTCTGCGGCAGAGAGTAACACCTCCGGCTACCTTAGTCAGAAGTGTTCTGAGGCGGCCAGGACACCAGGGTAGCACCATGACCTAAAATCTCTACCCTCATCAAGGTTCTGCTCCAGTGATTAACAAGCTCAGAGATGTAGGAGCCGGGTCGGTAAGTCCCTCACTTAGGTAACTATGCTAAGCAAGTAAGGAGTTTATTATTGCTTCCTAGGTAAAGGTGTTTTCTTCTTACCTAGAAAGGTCAGCTCAATTTTTTAGAGATGAAAAGGGAGGCTTAAAGGATCAGTATTTTGAGTTCAGCGCCAGGGTTACTGAGAAACAGCTGCACACGATTGAGTGGGGTTTGTGCTAGAACAAAATGGGAATTCAAGAGAGGAAGTGATGATTGAGTCATACCATAAAAACGTCTGACAGGACAGACTGTGTCAGAGGTGCCCTTAACCATCTTTTTCCTTCAGGGTGAGCTAATCAAATTATTGTTGACAAACAAGGCAGAATGGATGGGATAAAGAGATGAGTGGTAACTCCTTGTGCTTGGCAATCTTTTCTATTCAAACTCCTAAAATTCCTTATATGGAGTTTTACTCATTGAAATCCTTTTTTTTTTTTTTTTCAAAAACTAATAAATAAGGTCAGATAGCTTGTCAAGGTCGCCAGAGCAAGGAAGTCAAGACTGTCACCTCTCTGGGAAAATCTGCATTTTGTTCTTCGCATCACCAAGCGTTTCATGTGCGCACACCATGAGCCCATGCTACCTGTAACTAAACACCTACTGCTTCTTACTTCTAGGAGCTGAAGCATTAAAGTGGCAGACATGGAAGGTGCCCTCCACCTCAGAGCACATTCAGTAGATTCTACACTCATACATGTGCTCATCATGAGAGATGCCCATCTTGGGGAGCAGCTCATTCTATAAATTCATGGGTGGGATAGATTTCTGCTTAGAGAAGTTGAGGTTGTGTATATACAAAGAATGGTTACAAGGACAAAACAGGCAAGGAGGAAGAATACTTCTAAAATGCCAGTCCTCAGTACAGCTGTACGTGCCCAGGACCAGGGTTTCCCATGATCATTCATCTTCAGAGATGCTACTCTTGACCTTGCTGCCTGTGTCAAACCTCCTGTTACATGTCCGTAGAGCCCAACACCTCCCCCTTCTTCACATCCAAAGAATGAGTTTTCCATTTGTTTCTGTGGCTATTTAATCCATAAGTCTTTCTCTTTATAGGACACTGACTTAACTATAGGTTTATAAGTTTAGCGTTTGCAATTTTTCACCATTGTTACCATTTCTCCAGCACTAAACACTATGATTAATTCATAAGTGTTCAATAAATCATTGTTGGATAAGTAAATTAACATTTGAAGATATTTTGGCATGTTGTTTTTCAACAAGGTGCTTCTGTTTAGCCCAATCTTGATTACTTATTAGCTACTAAAGAGCAATTCCTAAGCACTCATGATGTTTTTCTGTTTTGTTGTTTTACAGTCAACTTTGACCACTTTGAAATTTTGCGAGCCATTGGGAAAGGCAGTTTTGGGAAGGTGAGAACCATATGATTAATTACCAGCAGGTTAGGGAGCTCAGTAGCTGAGTCTGATAGCGCTCAGATTATTGAGTGATCAGGATTACAAGGAAGGATAATTTAGAGAGGTGTTGTATGATGGACTGTTATAGAATTGTTTGAAGAAAGTGTTTGAAGAAAGCGTGACAGTTTGAAGAAAGTGTGACATCCAGCTACATAATGAACATATACTGTTCTCAGAATTATCACATTAAAATCAAATCTATCTATTTTCATGAAATTTAAGACTTTTCTCTGTACCTTGGAGAAGATTGAGATTTTAGAGTTAACTTTAAATTGTACTGGCTGTACCTCCAATAATTGTTGCCAATGTAAGAGTTAATTTTTTGCATGTCAGAAATAAGCCACCTAATTTTTTCTGTCCCTTTACCCAGGGGTACCATGTTTTTGGTCTTCAAAAACCTGCCCTGGAAAAGATACATACTTAATTTTTGAGAAGAATCTTCTAGATTCAAACCCTCATATTAGTTCTCAACGGAGTCATATTTTAAGGGAAAATACTATTTCACATTTCCGTTAAATTTCATTGAAAAATCATCTGCTGTCTATTTTAACAGATATTATATGGACCCTTAAAGGGCAACATCTTTCAGAACCATGAACTGATGCTATTTAGTTTTTCTCCAGGCCTTGGAGTCCTGTTCAGTTCTCCAACCTGTGGTTGTAAGCAGCAATTCTCTGCACAGTGCTGTTTGGCTTGACAGCTTAGTCACGCGTGTTCCTGTCACTCAAAGCGGGACTAAGAATCTTGTTTGTTATTGGAAGAATTCTGACAAGGAGACAGCTATTTTCTTCAGAATGCTGTCAAAAAAAAAAAAAAAAAAAAAAAAAAAACCCAAAGCAAAAAGAGGCAAACTTGTTTGAGACAGTAGAGATTCAAGAACTGATAGGTTGCATGGGGAAGACAATAAGAATTGTACTCTGAAATTGGACCAAAGGAAACTTTAACATCAGAGGATCTATAAGGGCTAAGGCCTCCGAGCCATGCTGAAGAACAGCTGTGCTTTGTCTCACCTTGCCATGGTTCCTCATCTCCTTAACCGCTTCTCACTTGGGTTGCACCGTTAGGTCTGCATCGTACAGAAGAACGATACCAAGAAGATGTATGCAATGAAGTACATGAATAAACAGAAGTGTGTGGAACGCAACGAAGTGAGAAATGTGTTCAAGGAGCTCCAGATCATGCAGGGCCTGGAGCACCCCTTCCTGGTGAACCTGTGGTGAGTGACGGCACCGGGCCTCCAGATGGAGACATTGCCCCTTCCTCCCCAGCCCCTGGTCTACTCCACATCTCGATTTCTAGGTGTGCCTCTGCAAGGCCCTCGAGAGGACCATGCCCTTTCTTTGATTTATGTGATGAAATCCCTGATTTCTTTGATTTTATGATGAAATGTTTGTTACATTGGCACCAGTACTCTATGGTTCAGTCATTACAGTTCTGCTTATCCTGGAGGCCAATATATTTTTAAAAAACATCATAATTAACAAGGAATGAGTTCAGATGTTTATTATTCATTAGATATTTTTGCCCATAAACTGTGGGGCCAGGGACTTTGGGTGCAAAGTATGATCTCTCTGATTGGCAGAAGGTTGATCTTTGGGACTTGTACAAAGGACCTAAGTACTTTCTCAAAATAATGGGCAGTGTGTTATTTTCCCTGTGCACACTTCTTAAGCAGCCACTTATATACCTGTAAGATGAGAAAGGATGGGTGCTGCTTTTTCACCAAATGTTTTAACAGGGCTGGAGCTAACTTAGGTTAGCGGCTAGACATTAAATGATCGTGATCTGCTCTCAAGGCCATTGCCATAATCCAAGGCTTAGAAATTGGCGAAAAAGATTGTGGTATCTATTACCTCCTGCTCCTCTCTTGTGCTTTACGCTTTTCATGTCTCTTCCTCTACATCTTAATGCATCCATTATGTTAAGAGCCAGTTCTTAAAGCTAACTCACTGTGACTGTTTTAAATATGCATACCAAGCAGTTCTACTTACCAACAAAGGCAAGAAAAGAACTTTATCTGGAGGGTGCTAATGGAAAAGTAATGGAGGTTTCACTATGTGTCTAGCGACATCCTTCTGGAAGAATCAATGAATAAAACTAGCCTCCACCCATCTTCAATTAATACAATTCACTTAATGTATAACTTGCACAAAGCTTCTGTGCCACAGTTGAAAGGAAGATGGTTCCCTGTGACTTGGAAATAGGCCTAATAGAGCTTGTGCACTGCTCAGACATGGCAGTGTGATTCTGGCTCAGCCTGCTTGTATTTAATCAGTATTTCAGAGTGGCCTATTCAAAATGCTGCCACGTAAGAAGTTAAAATGGATGCAGCTCTCTGCCTTTGTAATCATCAGATTGCTTTTTTCCCCTCTTTCTGCACCCTAAGGAGGATGACAGGTTACTGTCATGTCAGAGCCTCCCTTTGTTCACAGTCACATTTTTTTTCTTCAAAAGTTCAGTCCACGAATTTTCTCTTCTCAGGGCCAGGAACCCTTAATAAGGCACACAGGGCACGTTGCCCTTTCATGTTCAGCTCTTATAGCTGTGGGCAATGTTGATTTCATCTATTCTTACTTTTTTTAAAGATTTATCTATTTATTTGAAAGGGAGAGTCAGAGAGAGGCAGAGGAGGAGAGAGAGAGAGAGATTTTCTATCCACTGGTTCACTCCCCAAATGCCACAATGGTCGAAGCTGGGCCGATCTGAAGCCAGGAGCCAGGAACTTCTTCTGGGTCTCTCAGGTGGGTGCAGGGGCCCAAGTACTTAGGCCACCTTTTACTGCTGTCCCAGGTCATAGCAGATAGCTGGGTCAGAAATGGAGCAGCCGGGACCTGAACTGGTGCCCATATGGGATGCTGGCACTGCAGATGGTGGCTTTACCCACTATAACACAGTGTCAGCCCTCTTACAGTTTTTTTTTAATATTTTTTTTTGAAATTCAGAGTTACAGACAGAGAAGGAGACACAGAGAGGGAATATTCCATCCACTGGTTCACTCCCCAAGATGGCCGGTGGCCAAGGCTGAGCCAGGCCATATACAGGAGCTCAGAGCTTCATCCAGGTTGCTCATATGGGTAGCAGGGGCTTGAACACTGGGCCATCTCTTACTGCTTTTTATGGGCCATTAGCAGAACTGGATTGGAAGTGGAGCAGCTGGGATAGAAACCTGCACCCATATGGGATGTTGGCATTGCAGGTAGCAGCTTGACTAGCTACATCACAATGCCAGCCCACTATTCTTATGTTCTTAAATCATGGATTTATGAGACTTTAAGCTGGCCAAGACTTGGGGATGTTGCTATTTGCCAATGTGGTGTCACTATACACAAAATTCTGTTCTCCGTGCCTGCTGACCTGGTGAGAACATGAATATTGCAGTCTTTCCTTCTTCCCACTCATGTTGACATTCACAGAATACTGGACATCATTATGATTGACAGAAGACAGGGAATAGAAGAGCCCACAGCCCAGTGATTCTACACCACGCTCATAACTGGAAACTAGAAGGGGAGCATTCTTATATGTATAACAGAAAACATTTTTGTCTTTCAAATCCTAAGATAAACCTTTATAGATCATCATTATTCTTGCTATTAAATATTTCCTGCCTTAGCAATACAGCACGGCCAAATGAAAAACAATCTGTCTTCAACTATTAGGCGTCTTGCTGTGCTTCTGAAATGATTTATCATTTTAAGTCACAATGTCATAAGATAGTTAATGTATATAACCTGATTTTTTATGAATGAAATTAAAGTGTTATGCAAAGTGGCCAACACATAGTAATATTTCTTTAACGAATATTAGTTCTTTCCCTCCTTACTTTTCTATGAAAGTGCAGCATACTTATTTTTAAGTCTTTATTGATTTATTTCCTTTGAAAAGCAGAGACAGAGAGACCTCCTATCTACTGGGATCTACCAGATGCCCAAAAGGCAGGAACTCAATCCTGATCTCCCACATGGGTGGCATTGACCCAACTACTTGCACCTTCACTTGCTGCCTACCTGGGTGCACATTAGCAGGAAGTTAAAATTAGGAGAGGAGCTATGACTTGAACCTACACACTCTGATATGGGATGGAAATATCCCTAATGACATCTTTATCTGCTGTGTTTCACACTTGCCCAAATATGTAGCATTTTGAACTTGCTCATTACTATAGTCCAATGTGGACATCCAAAGAATCAAAGAATTGTGTTTTGCCCCAATGCATCATGGGAGGTTCTGTGTGCCAATGAATGAATATCTACCACTCATTCTTCCTAAGAGCCTGTGTTGCTTTTCTTTGATTTTCCATCTCATTTTGCAAATCAATCAAAAACCAAAGGTTCTCCAATATATTATGTAAAATTTAATCAAGAGTTTACATCATATGCTTAACTATTAAATTTACCTCCGCATCCCCAGAATCTTAGAGGCTGGTTTTCATTCTTTTTGTACTTTATATCAATGGAACAGATTTCTTGTATTTCATATACACAGATTTAAGGACATAATGATGCTTCCTCCACACCCTCCATCCCTCACTCACTCATTCCCTCCTTGCCTTCTCTTTTCTTTCTTGTTTTTCTTTCAATTTTTGCAGTGACATGTTTTCAGTTTCCTTCATGATCACAAAATTAATCCTACACTCAATAAACAATTCAACAGGTAGAAAGTAGAAAAACTACTGTTCTTCAGTAGTTTTTCAGAGATAACATATTTGTCTTTTTGGGACTGGCTTGTCTCACTAAACATAATGGTCTCCAATTTCATCCATTTTCTTGTAAATACAGGATTCAATCTTTTTATGACTGAGTAGTATTTCATCAGATCAACAGCTAGGTCAAATTCATGTCTTAGCTGTTGTGAATTGAGCTGCTATAAACATGAGGGTACAGTTAACTTTTCTGTATGCTGATTTCATTAACTCTGGGTAAATTCACGAAGTGGGATAGCTGGGTGATATGGTAGATGGAATTTCAGATTTCTGAAGAACCTCTATAACATGTTGCATAGTGGTTATACTAGTTTACATTCCCACCAACAGTGCATTAGGTTACCTTTTCTCCACATCTTCACCAGCATTTTTAATTTGTTGATTTTTGCATGATAGCTATTTTAACTAGAGTGAGCTGAAACCTCATTGTGTTCTTTATTTGCATTTCCCTGATGGTTTTTAATCCTGAGCACCTTTTCAGGTGTCTTTTGTTGGCTATTTGTATTTCATCCTTTGAAAAATGCATGTTCGTATCCTTAGCCCATTTCTTACCTGGATTTTTTTGTTGTGGTGTTTCTTGAGTCTTTGTATATCCGGGATATTTATCATTTATAAAATATATAGTTTGCAAATATTTTCTCCCATTGGATACATTGCTTCTTCACATTGTTGAGTGATTCCTTTAATGTGCAGAAGCTTCTTAGCTTGATATAATCCCATTTGTCATTGTGCTGTTACTGTCTGTGTTTCTGGGGTCTTATCCACAAAGTCCTTGCATATGCCAATGTTTTGTAGTGTTTCCATATTAGGGTTATATCCTTGATTGATTGTGAGTTTGTGTAGGGTGTAAGATAGGAGCCTTGCTTCATACTTCAGCATGTGGACATCCAATTTTCCAAACACCATTTGTTGCAGGGACTGTCCTTTATCCAAGGAGTGATTTTAGTGTATTTGCCAAAGATTAGTTGGATGCAGATGTGTGGATTAATTTATGAGGTCTCTAGTCTGTTCCATTGGTAAATGTGTCTGTTCTCATGCTAGTACCAACCTATTTTAACTTCCCTGAAATATGTCTTGAAATCAGATGTTACTATATCTCCAGTTTTATTTGTATTGTTTAGAATTACTTTAGTGATTCAGGGTCTCTTGTGATTCCATATGAATTTTAGGGTCATTTTTCCTAGATCTGAGAAGGATGTCATGGTATTTTCATTGATATTGCAGTGAATCTATAAATTATATTGGGTAGTGTGAACATTTTGAAGATACTAATTCTTCAAATCCATGAATATGGAAGATTTTTCCATTTGTTTTTGTCTTCTATTTCTTTCCTTAACGTTTTGTAATTTTAATTATAGAGAACTTTCACATCATTGGTTAAGCTTATCTGAAGATACTTGAATTTTTTTGTAGCTGTTGCGAATAGCACTGATCTTACAAGTTCTTTCTCAGCCATGGCATTGTTTGTATATACAAAGGCTATTGATTTTTGTGTGTTAGTTTTATATCATCCA